GTCATACGGTACCGCAACTAATCCATTACACTTCAAATACTTTCGGGCCTTCTCACAGCCTCTGTCAGATGGTGTTTGCTTCGCCCTTTTAGCACAGGCTTTTGCCACAGCTTCGATCTCACAAAGGGCCTCCCCGGGGAATTTACATATTTTGAGATCCGATAGAAAGATGTCAATGTCGGCGAGAAAGTGTGTCTCATTAAATTTATCCCTGACGGGATGTTTCGGCCCTAATGCCAACACTTGTGTTACCCAATTTGGTGATTCAACATCATCAAAAGCTCTTACCGAACCCTCACCTTGCTTCCCTAGAGGTCGGTTTTGCCTTTCTGATAGTTTCATTAGCTTCTTCTGATGGGTCTCTTTGACTATTGTTGTTTGTCTTTGTCACCTAAGACTTAAGTATTTATTTACCGAAGGCCAAAACTTCTCATCTACACCCCTCTGTACTGCGCCTCTCGCCCTTTCCAGTTTGACTTCAACGTTTTTCTCATCTGTCCTTGCCTTGTTTATCTCCGTTCTTAGAAGTTTAGTCTGAAAACTGTGTACCGCTTGGTTTAAAAACACCCCATTTTCCGGTACCCTGAACCTCAAAAAATCGGTTATAATATCGTTTTCTAGACAAACTCTCAAAAATTTAACACGTTGGTGACAGTTGATAAATTTAACATATATGGACGCATAATCACGGACTAATTTCCAAATGAGTTTGTTTTTTACAGTCTAAATCAAGATTGGAGGTGGGAGTACAACTGTGCTCATTGGTTTGCAGGCTACGAGGAATGAACCTCACGTGACACAAAGCAACGTTTTTTTTTTCAAGCATAATAATTTAGCATTTTTAACGAAATTTTTTTTTCATGTTTAAGCTATATCATATATTGCAATGCTTGAGATACTTTTTCAATTAATTTATGACAAGGCCATTAATTTTTCAGTATTATTTTTGAGGCCAAATTAAGTCTGTATAAATTTCAAACGTTTTCGCAACTATGTGCATCGTCAGGTTTTTTACAATAAACTACTCTAAATGACGATAAAACATCAATTTACGAATGTTATTTACAATAAATCACATACAATTTGGTTCTAAACCATCATGATAAAACATTAGTCAATCACAGTTGACCTCTAAATTACTATTAAGATTAAAATACTTTTAACCTCTAAAATTAATTAAACATTTTTAAATTAATTTGTCTGGAAGTTTCTGATTCATAATTTCGATTTAGACATGTACGTTTTGAATAAAAAACCAAAATTATTTTGGGACTAAATTAGGTCTGTATGTCTGTCTGTATACCTGCTTTTTTAATTATATCTGTCTACCCATCGCCAAATTTTTTAACTTTCATCTATTGATTGATTATCTATTTTATATATGATTTTCATCAATGTATAGAGAATTTTTATAGTTTTTTTTATTGATACGTAAAATATGGCCAATTTTTATTTGAGTTACCGAAATGTTTCATATTGTAGCAGCTAGCTCCCTGTTCCACAGCATCAACACCCTTAACACAGGTGAGAAAAAGCAATACGAGAGCCTTGCTTGTTACAGCAATTCCTGGCCTATCCCTTAATAACAACTTGCTGAACCAAGGAAAGAACATCCGACGACTACTGGAAGACAACCCACTGAAGGAGAAAAAAGTGGTTGTGTGGCACGACGTGGTCAACAACACCATTAGTAGACACAGAACAAACAATTATCGCCCAGCCGGTGTCGAGGAACTGACAAACTATTTGAAGTCGAAGAAGCAGCAGATATTGGCGATCGTTTATTGCAGAAGGGAAGGAACGCCCGACTTGTTTAGTCAGCTTCTCGGCACAGGGGTGCTTATTATTCCAGCTACAAAACGGTTACTCTCCAAGAGCAAGCAAAATGACCCGGAGCAGCTCAAGCAATATTTGAAGCTGCACCAGAGTGCTGATTTGGAGCTGAAATCTCTGCGATTGGTAGTGGCACACAAAGAAAGGCTGTCAGAGCTGATTGGCAATATCAGGGGCAAACAACAGAGACCATCACAGACAAGGAGGAAGGCGAAAGCAAGACGTGAGCAGTAGCTGAAGGCAGAGGAATGTCTGCGCTTCAAAGACAGGGTTGAGAAGAGTGTGATTTGTTTTGCTTTGTGCCTTGTGAGTTTCATTACTCGTGGCCTGCAAAACAATGACCACTGTACTTTTGCCTGCTGTTTGGCTCAGACAAATTTTAAAAAGAAAACTAACTTGGAAAATTGTGTTAGACTATTTAAAATTCTTTAAAAAAGTTCAAGTATCTGTACATAGACTGAAGTTTCTGAGAAAATGTCTGAAAAACGATATAATACCGGACTTTTTGAAGTTTAGGGTCCCCGAGAACGGGGTTTTTCCGGACCAAGCTGTGCATAATTTTCAATTGAAACTACTAAGGACTGAAACTTCTAGGGCAAATGAGGATAGGAAAAGGTACGAGGAGATGCTAAGGAAAGCAAGATCACTGGTGCAAAAAGATATTGACAAAAGGTGGTGGCATCCATTTTCCGCTTCGTGAGGCGTCAAGTTGAGGCAAGCCTAAAGACAACATCAGAAAACCATATAAAAAACTTAGAAAAACTGTCCGAGAGACAAGATAAACCTCTTGGGGATAGAAATGAGCAATCAATTAAGGTACTTGATAATATTGAACTGCCTGAATGGGTATATGAAGTGCTATCAAGGGGCCCCAAGCATCCCATTAGAGACAAATTTAACGAAACACATTTTTTGGCGGATATCGACATTTTCCTCTCACAATTGAAAAATCAAAAAACATCTGGTGAAACGTTATGTGAAATAGAAGCCGCGGCAAAGGCATATGCAAAAAACGTACGGCAAACCCCAAGAGACAAAGACATTGAAAAAACGAGGAAATATCTCAAAGATAATGGGTTGCTGGCTGTGCCTTTTGATAAGGGGGTTGCTTTCTGCATAATGAGGAAACAAACATAATAATCAAAGCTGGAATCCTTGTTGCAATCTGCTCAGTTTGTAAAAAAATATGCAACCACTGATGAGGTGATACTGAAAATTGAGAAGGAATATAACAAAGAATTAATAGCCATGAACAAAAAAGACGAGATAAGTGATCAGTTATATTCTAAGATGAGATCAACAGGGGGGCAACCCGCCCGTTTGTACGGTTTAGCTAAGGTACACAAGGATGAGACACCCCTACGACCAGTACTATCACTTCCAGGCAGCTCGTATGAGAATCTTAACAAAATGCTTGCAAAATTTTTTGACAACATCGATGGAGCAAATACAGAAACCAATACTAAATAGGCTAGAGAAAAAATAGAAAACATTGCTCTAGATCCGGATGAAACCAAAATATCTCTTGATGTGAAAAGTTTGTACACCAACGTTCCCCTGAAGGAGGCAATTGAAATTGCTTTACAGAATTTGTACAGCCAGGAGTCTCTTCCTGAAATTCAAAGAGCAACCATGAAAAGGCTTTTGAATATGGCGGTCAGCAAAGTATATTTCAAGTGTAATGATTCATGGTATGTACAAGTTGATGGTTTAGCAATGGGCGCGTCCCTCGCTGTAATTCTGGCAAAACTTATGGCTGAAAGAGTACGAAATTGCTCTACGACAACAAATACCGGTGGGAACGGGGGTACAGGAAATTAATGACAAAAACGGCTTGTGCCCATGTTGCAGCAGGAAAGTCACATATAGATCAAAGGGGGTTGAATGCGAGAGTTGCCGAAACTGGTATCATCTAAAATGCGGAAAAATACCCGATGACGTATACGCATCAATAAACGAGATAGTCTGGTACTGTGAAAGCTGCTGCCGAGCTAAGAACAAGGAGAAGGATACTCCCCAGGTGAAATTGTTCCTCAGGTATGTGGATGACATTGTTAGAACAGTCAGAGGGGAGCCGAGTTGTCTTCTCGATGCCGCCAATTCTCTTCATCCAAATTTGAGAAAACTAATTCGGAGGGGAATTTGCCATTCCTGGATTTGAACATAAATTTATCGCAGGGTAGGCGTGTAACTTGCAGTTGGTATCAAAAACCAACAGATACAGGGACTATACTGAACTATAGAAGCTGCGCCCCAACTCAGTATAAGCGTAGTGTTATCCAAGGCACTGTACACAGGGTTTTTAGGAGTACATCTAGCTGGGAGCAATTTGAAAAGGCTATGGAAACTAATAGGGCGCAATGGCTGACAAATCAGTACCTTGAAAATTGGTCCGCAAAGGTGGCTTCAGACGCCTTGTGCAAGATCATCCAGGGTAAGGGCAAACCCCTGGAGAGTGACAGGGGTTTGTCAGTTCAATCACCAAAGGATGGGAAGCCCCCAATGCTGATGGTGCAATATAGAGGTAACCAGAGCCAATATTTTGCCAATATTTTGCCATTTCACCACAAGAAAACTACAATCATGTTTACCATCACTGAAGTCAGCATTTTCTAATGACCTCAAGTCAAGAGTGGTTTATAAACTGTCATGTAGTGGATGCACTTCCACCTATGTCGGACAAAATGTACGACATTTGACCACTAGATTTGAGGAACATAAGAAAGCAGACTCACCGGTAGGCCTCCACCTTCAGCAATGCCAACTTGAGGGAAATAGCGCAGATCTTAGTTGGGAAATTATAGATAGGTCAAACAACCAAACAAAATTGCTAACACTAGAGGCAATACATATCAGGAAAGAGAAACCGGGCTTGAACACGCGCGATGAGTTTAGGAGCAGGGAGTTAACACTGAAAATTTAGTCCCAAAATATTTTTGGTTTTTTATTGAAAACCTAAATGTCTAAATCGAAATTATGACTCAGAAGTTTCCAGACAAATTAATTTAAAATTGTTTAATTAATTTTAGAGGTTAAAAGTATTTTAATCTTACTGGTAATTTAGAGGTCAACTGTGATTGGCTAATTTTTTATCATGATGGTTTAGAACCAAATTGTATGTGATTTATTGTAAATAACATTTGTATTTGCAGATATTGAAACAATAATATTGATTTCAGACATTTAGACACATGTCATGGCTTCACAGAATGCTCTAACACTGTGGAGAAGTTATTGAAGGCGACACGACAAGCGTAAAACAACTTATCAATTCTCCACCTTTTTTGCACGTGCTTTTTATTTATACAATATACACGCGGTTATTATTTTATTACACATTTGTCCATTTATTGGATGTTTAATTTACTCTTTCCTTCCTCCTAAATAACATTTGTAAATTGATGTTTTATCGTCATTTAGTGTAGTTTATTGTAAAAATCCTGACGATGCACATAGTTGCGTAAACGTTTGAAATTTACTTTTTAGCAAAACTTTCTTCTATATCAAATGCGGGCTTCACTACCTCGCCATATTTAAGCTTTTTCAACGTAATATAAAAGTTTTTCACGTTTAAGTTATTTCGTATATTGCAATCGTATGTTAAGTTTTTTTTCCGATTTTCCAGTTTAAATTCAGTAGTTATTCCATCATGTTTGAAATTAGCAACCCAATAGTATGATATTGTCAGAGTTTTCCCAGGTTTTGCGATTCTGGCCTCCATATATGAGTAACCAAATCCTTTTAGTTTACGAGATAGGCAATTTTCGAGATTTTTCAAAAATCATCTAGAAAATTTAATATTAAAAAATTTCTCAATTTTTGAAATTCTCGCCCTGTAGTTGAGTGTTGTCAGGGTACTCTCAGGGGTTGGAAATCTTGCCTCCACTTCTCACTTCTCAAATCCTTGTAGTTTTCGACAAATGACGTTTTTTATGATTTTTCAAAAAATTTCAAAAACTTAGGTTTTAATAATTTCCAAAACGTTGAAGATCTCAATCCTGTTGTTGGGTTTTGTGAGGATACTCTCAGGGGTTGCGAATCTTGCCTTCGATTATGGTTGCTCAAATCCGGGTAGTTTTCGAGATATGACGTTTTTTTTTGGATTCTTAAAATTTTTCAGAAAACTTAGATATAAAAAAATTTAACACAACTTGAAATTACCATCTCTGTAGTGAGGATCTGTCCGAGTACTCTCAGGCGTTGCAAATTTTGCCTCCCCTTATGACTGCTCAAATCCTTGTAGTTTTCGAGATCTGACGTTTTATGATTTTCTCCTAAATTTTCACAAAAAACTTTAATATTAAAAAATTCCAAAGGTTTGAAGATATCAATTTTGTTATTGGAATTTTTGAGGCTACTCTTAGGTGTTTGCGAATCTTGCCTCTGAATAGAACTGCTCAAAATCTTGCAGTTTTTTAGATATGACGTTTTTTGTGATTTTGTCAAAAAAAAATTCATGAAAATTAATATAATTTTTTTTTAAGTTTGAAATTCCTAACCTGTAGTTGGGGTGCTGTCAGAATAATCTCAGGGGTTGCAAATTTGGCCTCCAATTAAGAATGCCCAATTTTTTTTTGTTAAAGAGATAAGACGATTTTATTGATTTTTTTTTGGAAATTTTCAGAAAACTCAAATTACAAAATATTTCGTTATAGTGAAATACCCAACCCTGTAGTTTTTGCGTTGTTGAAAATTGGAAGCACCGGAGGTGCGGTACACGCTAGTTGTTTTTAAAATTTGGTTTTAAACGTGAAAAAATATTTTCGTTTGTTTTTCAACCGACCCCGAATAGTTGCAACATGATTGTTTAAATCGAGCCTACAGATAGATTATTTCATTTAATATGTCCTTGATTTTTGGGTTATTTGAAACAATCGAGTACACATCGTACGCTCACTCCCCTAGCATATGATAGACGTTGAGTTGTTATCTCTCGAATACGCCTTTGAATAAATACCGTCTGATTTTCCGTATTTCACTCACTCCCTCTATGCTGCCGCTAAATGTATGGCAGTTTAAGTTTGAAATTTTGCTGATAAGAACATCAAGTTCTGGCAGTTTGTTGAAGTGTGTCAATTTAAAGTTCTGTTCAAATTCTGGCATTTTGTTGAAGTGTCAGTTTTTCTACTATTTTGTATAGAGAAATGGCCCCTATCGTTGAGAAAGAGAATTTATCGGCACTGCTAGTCAAAAAAGATGACCTGCAGATTGTCAACTTGGACATTCCTAAACCAAAATCGAGTCAAGTATTGCTGAGGATGGGACCCGTTGGTATTTGTGGGTCGGATGTGCATTACTTAAAACATATGCAAATTGGGAGTTTCATTGTGAAAGAGCCCATGATTCTGGGTCACGAATCAGCTGGAACTGTTCTTGAAGTGGGATCAGAAGTGAAAACTCTGAAAGTTGGCGACCGTGTTGCTATTGAGCCTGGAGTCCCGTGTGGCCGATGCAGTTTTTGTGTAGGTGGCAACTACAACCTCTGTCCTGATGTCGAGTTCTTGGCTACTCCCCCTTATCACGGGTCTTTACGGCAATATCATTGTCACGAGGCGGCTTTTTGTTTTAAGCTACCGGAAAATGTAAGCTTAGAAGAGGGCGCTTTGCTGGAACCCTTATCAGTAGGAGTGCATGCTAACAGAAAGGCAGAAGTCACATTTGGAGATTTGGTGTTAGTTTGCGGAGCTGGACCTATTGGCTTGGTGAACGTAATGGTGGCCAAGGCTGCTGGTGCTAGTCTTGTTGTTTGCACTGACATTGACGACAAAAGGCTGGATTTTGCTTTGAATTGTGGATCAGATAAAGTGTTAAATGTTCGTGGTCTTTCAGAAATAACTGCAGCTGAAAAAATAATTGAGCTTCTGCAAAATCGTAGACCAAATAGAGTAATTGAGTGCTCTGGTGCGCAGTCAAGTGCAAGAGCTGCCATTCACGCTATAGCAGCTGGAGGAAAAATGGCACTAGTTGGTCTGGCTCCAAGTGATGACTTGACACTGCCCATGATAACAGCCTCATGTAAAGAAGTATCAATTACTGGGGTCTTCAGATACGCGAACTGTTACCCTACAGCTTTGAATTTGGTGGCTTCAGGAAAAGTTGACGTGAAAAAATTGGTGACTCATCGATTCGACCTGAAAGACTCGATTAAAGCGTTTGCTACTACATTCAACGGAGAAGGAGTAAAAGTTGTCATAAACTGTAGTTGATCTGAACTGCGAACAATGGTTATAGCCTGGATAACTTGTAATTGTTTCTGACTATTCTATTCTGATCTTTTTTTATCAAGCTGTAGATAGTGAAACTCAGAAGATGAAATGATAGATTTGTATTCGAATTTGTAATTGATTTAAATAAAGCTTTAATAAATATTATACAACAACCTTTCGAAACTATGAGCTACTAGCAATTAATTTATACAAATAAACATTTAGTGTGCTGAGCTTTTGTTACCCGTCATACAAGCAATTTTTAGTAAAATTGGATTTTTCTTCTTGGGTTTTGCTGATTTCTTAGCACTTGTTGATTTATCGGATGGTTCGCTGTCTGTGCCAGGAGAACCGTTTGCAGTGGGCTTAATGGAAGTTTCAGAAGGATGATAGAGTGCGTCAACGGGTCTTTCGTTATGCCCGAAGTTACTGATAGGAGTCCTTGGGAAGTTCTCCAGGTTAGTCTGAGACGAAGAGTCTCCGTACCCTATCCCACTATCTCTATCGTCGAAATCAAGTGTGTTCCGTTTCTGAAACTGATCTTTGGGAGACATTTGCATGTGAGGGCTGCTCTCGGTGGCCTTCAGTTTAAGTCGAACTCCTGCTTTTTTAGTCGTCTCAATTGGTCGTCGTTCGGAAATTAAGCCTCCGTTGCTCGTGTTATGATGGCTTCGACTGTTTGGCAAGGTGTCGTACATGCTGATTGGTCGCATAAAAGCACCAGCCGAGTCGTAGCCATAGTCAACATCAGAACAGAAGACATCGGACTGTTTACTGTCTAGGTACTGTCTGTTTTGCTGCCCAGCATTTCTAAAACTCAAGATGGTATCAGTGCTCACAGGCGAAAGCAACATGGAGTTGTTACTGACGCTGTAATCCGGAGCCGGAATTTGGAGCTCGGGTGTGGGTCTGGCCTCGGATCTAGCACGTCTGGTTGATCGTGGGATTGTGAAAGCGTTGAAAGTCGTCTCGCCTGACTCGAAAGGGTCCTCTTCAGCAGTAGCCTGAGGCGCAAGCTTGCTGCAACTGCGAGAACGATGGCCTGAAAATAAACGTTTCTCTTGATTAAATGTAGCCATAATTAAGCTAAGTGTGAATACATATAGCAATATGTATTGAAAGTCACCTTTCGATAAACTTAAATTGTTCCAATTGACCAAAATTAGCCCAAAGTTTAAGATAGTGATTGATATTAAACAAATAGTTACCAGGCCCATCCCTACCTGTATTGACTCGAAACAAACTGATTGAAGCGTAAATAGTGCCTGTCACCCAGACCTGTAATTGTTAGGACCGAAGGCTCTTTTCCAGTCCCCCCACATTTGAGTTTCAGGTTTGAAAAACTAAATTTACGTTGTCATAATGTACTGAAATGTTGCATGGTGAACAAACTAACTATTGTGAACATATTTGTTCTTCATACCTTTTTTCTTAACATCATGCGTTCAGCCATAATAACACGTAAGACAATTGAAAAAGTGGAAAAGAGCCGGACCGAACACTGATCGACGCACAGGGAGTAGCGACTTCCCCTCTGCTTCGTAAAAATCTGCCTAATATTACGTTTTAAGTTTTGTCCAATGATATTTATTGTTACTCGATATTGAATATTGAATCCATGCTGAATTTATTACGTTTATTTTTGTTCCGACTTTTGTAACGAAAGTAACGAAATATTTGTGCTGGGTCACTTTTTAACTAGCCATTTTTGACGAAATTTTTTCTATATCATTCAAAAGGTATTGTTGTCCTGAGTTAAAATTTGAAAAGATATTTCATTTGTGATTATTTTTGTAAAGTTATGGGGGTTTAAAGAGTGCCAATTTGGGACAATTAACGCGCGATATATTTTTCGCTATTAACGCTTTAGCGGAAATTTAGTATGTCTTAGAAATCGTTCCAAATTGGTTAAAGAAAGCTTATTTGCATCAATTCATGTGTTTATAGGAGCGAAACCTATCCCTTTGTACTCCATATATGGCGTGTGGGGGATGATTTTAACAAAAAATCTCAAATTAAAAAGAAATTAGTTTTTATTTATTACTTTTATTTTTTTCATGTTATTACTGCTCCATAAACCTCAACAGGCAGTCGGAGCATTCAAGGCATCGCCTTGATACGAGCAGTCTTGTTCATATATCGATTTGATTTGTACTGTCGAAGTGGTCAATTAGATAGCGGTGATAATTTTTCTTGTTTCCGGTTCATTCTCATATTTTGTGGATTTTGTCAACTTTTCGTTTTGCTTTTTATGTACTTGGCCTTTGCACTAAATTGTTGTAAATTTGGATAATTTAAGCTAAAAATTGAACTGATATTTGAGAACTGGAAGAAAAACAAGCAGAAGTTTTTCCAAAAGCATTTATAGATCAACAATTTTTCAGACTAATAGAAAAACGACTACGAGAATTGTAATATAGTTTTTTCTGTGAGTGGTTGTGTTATAATACGTTGTGTTAAAGGTTATTCAGCTTAAATAGTTGATTATGTTAAATTGGTTTAGTTGCCTCATAATTGGTCGTTTTTACACAAACATAGCTTGTGTTATAGTATGAACTATCTTCTTTTTTAACCTAAGTCGCAAATATTGTTGCGACAAATTTTGTTCATTTTGATCCAGCTATTAAGTACAGCCAATGCTAAGGCTATTAACTTTGGCATTTATATACAAATAGCACTTTAGCTTCAAGGTATCATGGATCTGTAGCGTAGAGGTAGGGAAGCAGACCAGCAACAAAATAAGAGGGTTCGAACCTGGACAGGGTCCGATGTTTTTAATGAACTTTTTCGTAGACTAGTTAAAATGCGTCCGCTCTACAAATTGAGGCATCTTAGTTGGATACATTTTTTTAAATTTTCTGGTACTGCTAATGCGTCATAATTGGCTTGCGTCAGTTAGCAATTATGTAGACTCTTAATTGGCGTGCGTCACTTAAGAAATTTTTTTGACTCAAAGTTTTACACATTCAGTTTTTTCCAGTCGGACTATCGGTAATATTTTCGCTTGTGTTCGAAGTGCAACTTCGCGTCTGTGTAAAATTTTTTATCACTTCAAAACTCTAGTTTTTATGTCACTTTTAGGTCTCAACGGAAGTCTACCCAAGCAATTGTCTGCTTAATTACCGATCGTTAAATGTCCAAATTTTTTGTGTGTTGTATCGCTCTGCCTGAAAAAATTTTCGGCTGTCTACCCTATTATTGTTGCTTTTGTTATCGCGTCGTAATTTTTGTTTTAATGCTGATTTAACCCTGACAATTGTCTTTTCGGCATGGTTTCTCGGGATAACAAGTTTTGATAGTAGTTCATTTGATATTTTTTGCTGAACAGTTTTTTAAAACTTTGTTGCTTTAATTTTCTGTTGTTTAGCTTGCCAGTTTGTGTAGTATCGCAAATGATGCGGAGCTCCAATTCGTCTTTGTGTTCAAATTGCTTTGTCTAGTTGTGTGTTCAGTTTCTGTGTTAAATTCATTTCTTACTAGGCGGTTTTGCTGCCTGGTATTTATCATTCATGCATGTAGGGGAAGTATGTATAGTAATCCCTCAGTGGTCTACCGATAAAGTGTTCCTACCAAGCGTCAGCTTGAAGAATTGGTTCTCCGTTGTGTAATAGTTTTTTACGCTTTTTAAAAGCGTTTTTAAGCTTTTTCTTGGCTCTGTGTGCGATATCAAAAACAGAAAACCAAAACTATCAAAAACTTAATTTTGGTTTTCATTCAATTTCTGGCTGAAATTTTCTTTAAAATCTTTGTTTATTGGCAGATTTATTTTAAAATTGGAAGTTTGTAATCCAGTAAAACTTGAATCAATGTTTTTGGCGGCTATAATAATCCTTTTTTTGTTCAGACCCCTGAGAGTGGGAAGAATTTTTTGTCTTCAGCTGTGGTTAGTTAATATTTAATCATTTCAACGCAAAATCAAATTTCAATAATTGTCAGAATGAATCGAGTGATAAATCATATTATAAATATATGCAAGCCGGAAACAATTGATATTACAGAAAATCGAAAAAGTTTTGTGCGTCGAGGAAAACCAGTTAAAAATTTTGTTTTTTAGTCGATTTATAGCAACTACAATATGTAGCAATTAAATTACTACAACGTTATAATAGCACAAAAAGCTGTTCTTATATATAAGTCGTAAAAACTGTTTTTTGAACATTGAAGTTTTATTCCGTTTTCTTGGGCAAAAAGTTGTTTAGTCGAAATACAGAAAAAGATGCAAAAATATTGAAAAATTTTTCAGTTATCTTTTTTCGAAGAAAACGGTTGTTGGATATGACCAATTTATTTATTTTACAGGCCCAAGTTTTGTTCGTCTTGTCACATCATGCAAAATAATGTTATCAAAGTTTTCTCATGAATGTGTTCGGAGGTTTTTGAGCTACCTGCACAACAACAGTCTTGTTTGCATGCGAAATTTTATGTTCTAGACTAATTATTGCGAACTTTGAATTTTGTTTACGTGATCCTGAAAGAATAACGCAAATTAGTTATCAGTCGTAGAAATTGTTCGAAGCTGAATTGAGACAAGCAAATTGGTCATGATAATTCGCGATACGACTAAAATTTCAATACTTAATGATTTTATTTACACTGACTATTGGGAGATGAAAGACAAAACAGATCATAAATGTTTCTGTAAAAAAAATTTTGCCAAAACTATTTGATACCATTTGCAAGGCATTCAGTGCATACAGGACTTTGCCTTGATATGCGAACAAAATTGCTTTGATATCTTCATGCCTTAGCTATTTTATTTAGTTACTCAATCGCTCTTTAGCGAGCGTAGTGTAATAGTACGAGTTTTCTTCTTATCCGACCTAAGCCGCAAAACTTGGTACAATTTTGGAAAGTAGCTGTACGGCTTTCTGATAAATTGAGCTTTGACATTCAATTAGCAATAATATAACACAGTTGATGCATTTTTAGTTCATCAAATGAATCGAAAAGGCTATTTGTTTAAAACAACAGTACAATAATAAAAACTGAATTTCAAAATTTTTCAACTCAAGATCTCGCATTCGCAGTGTTTTTTTGAAATTTGAAAAGCATAGCTTACCCATATTTTGGCTTGGTCTTTTCTATTTAAGTTTCACATGCAAAGTAACTGTGAATGTCTTAAGTTTTTACATTCCAAATTATTTTAAGCAAAATTTAATTCTTTTCATATGTGCTGCGGTTCTTGCTGCAGAGCCTTGGAAATTTGTTAGTTTACGTAGCTGCTTTATTGGTGCCTAGTGTTGGAAAATTTTAAAGGCCTATGGCGCAAATGCGAAGATTTTTGACTCCAAATCTCCTCGACGTATGTTCGAATCTGCTAGGAAAAGGTTTAAATCCCATGTCTATTTTTACTTTTTCTTTTCTTATTTCAGTTTTATACCTATTTTTTGGTCGTTTTCTTGCTTGTCTTTGCAAAGCGCAGGTTCAGCTCTGTGTAAAACTTGAAACATACTGCATTTGATGATCAACCCGTTCGTCCAACAAATCATTTCAAACAGACTACAAATGCGATTTTTGAATTTTGTGAAGTAAAATGGTTTCAACTATCGACAAAAGCTCCACTCTTGTAGACTTAAGCTGTTTATTCCAATTCGGATCAAGTATTATCAATCCACCTCAAGGTTATTTGAGGTGGTTCTTGAGGCCTCAGTGTATCGAACTCCTAGTGTTCATCAAACCAGAATTATTGCTCCGATCAGTGCAAGTAGGGAGGAATTTTGTATTCGAGTGTGTTTTAGTTTTTTCTTCTATATCTTACTCTTTTCCTTGCAAAATCCATCCAATGAAATTTAAACGTCAGATGGGGTCAAACGGTATATCACATTAAAACCCATTCAATTGTGATTTGATCGATATTAAATGCTTCCAAATGTGTGCAAGTACAGCGTTAAGCATTTTAATTAGCAATGAAAAAAAAATTTTTTTGTTTAAAAGTCCAGCTTTTAAAGGTTGAGGTAGCGCTTTACCAGCACGAAATTTTCAATCATAAAAATTATAAATAGGAAAAACTTCAAAAAAAGTGAAAAAAAAAACTTTTTTACGCATGCGGAAAGGAAGTCTTTTGCCATGGGGTACTAGACGTGTTTCTCGCAGTCAATATTGGTCGCTGGATGACTGAAATTTGTAAGCATCTCCAAATCTGTACTTTCGTCACGAAAGACACATTTTTGCAGGTCTTCGAGTTTCAGTTTCTTGTTTTACTTTTCTCTTTTTCCTATTTGTTTGATATAAAAGGTTTAATCGATATCGACAAAAATTGACAAAAAAGGTTCTTGTTTTATGTTTTGAGGGGGCTTGAATTTTTTTTTGAGATTAAGTTTAACGAAAATTTTTCAGGCTAAAAAGTTGCCGGCTCAAGTATTGTTAGCTTTGTTACCGTTTCGTAAGTTTTTTCCAATGCTAATTTAATTTTTTAATGTCCTAATTGGCTAGCTGTTTTCTCAAAATCAGCAATAATCAACATGATTTGAGACAAACACGAAAGTTATTGTAGATTTTTTTTCCGACTGTTAGAAAAAGTTTTTGACTTAGCTGCTTCTCTCTCATGTTTGCCGGTCAATTTGACATGCTATATGTAGTGCTAGGCAAATAAGACAACAGAACGTTACGACGAACTGACATTAAGCCGATAACTGAGCGTTAAAGCATTTAAAATGAAATGTTCAAGTTTAAGCTGTTTATATTTCTCGGAAATATAATGTGGAGAATTGCGCGTAGCTGTCGCTTTAACTAACAGCTGTCGTCTTATTGACCGGACATCGCTGTGTGTGTGTTGTATCTCAAGTGATGCAGAGCTTTCGTGTTCTTTTTTTGGAGCCTAGCAACTAGTATAGTTAATTGAAGCCAGTTGTAATGTTTTTAAGCCTATTTTTCCTTTTCCTCACAACTCGCTCAAAAAACTACGCAAATTTGAAAAAAAAAAAGAATTTGAATTTTGTTTTTTCAATTTTGTCTTTTAAAGTTTCTGTGATAGGAATTTTCTGCGCTGCTTGAACAGAAACCGAGACTTCTTGGTCTTTAAAATTTTTAATGTATTTGATCACCAATTTGTTTTAGAAACAATTTTTGTTGGTCAAGAAAATAGATGAAATATTTTTCACATTAATATTTGTTGATTGATTTGAAATCTGATCTTACCTTTCAGTCCACAGTGGTAGCACCTCGGAAGTTTGTTCCGTTGAGACCGCACATAGTTGGGCTCATTGTGAGTTATGGTCACCCTGTCACCCAACATGATGACGTCATACAGTTTGTCCACGCGGGAAATCCGATCACATTTCAAGATTGAATGTCCCTTCAGTCCACAGTTTTGACACAATGGTTCGTACAGTTTGTCCTGTGGCTTTCCGAGGGAGCTGAGTCGGTCGGTTGATTCGTGTCCGTCCGTCGCATCTGCGAGGGTGTCGATACTCGTCAAGTAGGCGAAGGCCTTTGAGGGTTCAACTACTTGCTTCAGGAATATGCTTCCTAAAAAAAACAAGTTTAAAAGGTAGTGATTGCTGAAAAAATTGATTTAATTGTTTATGTTGTGTATCGCAATTGGAATGGGTAAAGCCTCCAAATACAATAATACACTTGATTGACACTAATGACGAATAAAAACACCTGTCTATTATTACCTCCGACCAAAACAAAGCTTGAATTGATTAATCAATCAAGCTCTTAGGAACAATTTGACCTGTAGATGAAATGAGATTGCAAATTGTTGTTAAAAGCGTCACAGTTTTTTCAATTTTTTTAAGGAACACAGTTTATACGCTTTCCAGTTGTAAAGGCAAGGAGATAAAACAATTGCTCTTCATTTTTCAAATAAAATACTTCAATACTTTTACTGAGATTGGATGATTGATTTAATTCAGAAAATGTCAATCATTGTAACTTCTTCAAGTTGAATCAATTTAAAGGAAATTTAATTTGTAAGACGTAAAAAACTTGTTTGTGGATCAGGGGCGGATTTAGGGGGGTCGGGGGGGGGGGGGGGGGCGGACGTCCTTTTCCCTCAGGGATTCGACCCCCTTCCGACCCAAAGGGTCCCCCTTTGATACTTTTTCAGAAATCCATTTTTGGCCGACCGACCCTAAAATTTTTCTAAAGGCGCCTACTAACTTTGAGGGGGAGCGCGCACCAAAAAAACGCGATTTTTTTGTCAACATTTTTCAAAAAGTGCCCAAAAACGGCTTTTTTGACAGTTTTTTCAAAAATTTGCCTGCGCCGCAGAAAATTTAACCAAAATAGGGGCAAAACAGTGCTTTGGGAGAGCTCGAAAAATCAATTTGGTCGACCGAAAAAAAAGTCGTCAAAATTTTGGAAAATTTTTTGAAAATCCGCCCCCCCTCGAGAAAATCCTAGATCCGCCCCTGTTGTGGATATCAGTAATTAAATTGGAAAGGAATTTCGTTCCGACCTCTCATTGAGTGAAGTGAACGTCTGACTTATGCTTGCACCCCCCCCCCCCCCCTCCCTCAGCTTAAAACGGTGGATAGGTCATATAATACTCATGGGGGAATTAATGTGGTAGAATGCCTGAGCCATTATCTTGTTGACTGCATGAATTTCACTTCATAAAGAAAAAATTAGTTTTGAGATATTTCCGAAAAAAGAAAAAAGATAGAAAACGAAATTTTTTCTCCATTAAAGACCAAGTAACAGACATCTATTAATGCATAGAAATTCAAAATCTTCAAAATATCTCTCAAGGAAGATGATTGAGAGGGTTGACTAAGGGCAAGCTATAAGCACACACAAGTTTTATCGTGATTAAAAAGTAAGATTTAATCAAGCTAGGCACAATTTTTAGTATTCAAGAGATTTATAACTGAAGCGAAAACATAAATGTAGTTTTTTGTTATGTTTTTACTTGTATCTGTCTTCTGATGGATTTGTTTTAGTGACTTTTGCTGTTTTAAAAAGCACTAATTCGAGCTCGAATATCCAGTAAATGAAAAAAGAAAAACGTTTTTTTTTTTCAGAAGAGATTTTTAGAAACTGCGATATCTCAAAAATGACTACACTTCAAAAAGTCAATTTTTTACCCTAAATTGCGATCTAAAATTGTAAATATAAAAAAAAATCGTAAAATCCACTTCTCTCAAAAACTACAAAACTTTTTAAAAAAATCTAGTTTTCCGAGCAGTTTCCCAGTTTATTGGGTGTGTCTGGAAACGTTCAGCTACAAATTATTCAAATTTCGCTAAAAAATTGAACATATCATGAGCTGTTAAGTTGCTGTACTTCCAGGAATATAAATTTCATTAAAACTATGCGCAAAAACTCTTAATTAATCTTCATCACTTCCAAATTTTAAAACTTCAACTTAATTAAGCTTAAAAAACTTATCAGCAAGGCGCCTCTGTTTTCCAATGATTGTGATTTTTGTTAATTTCTTTGGACTAAAAAGGGTCCCGTATAGTCCATGTCAAATTTTCAGGTTTTGTTTAAAAAATTTAAAAGAGACAACTTACAATTAAAAATCTGGTGAATGGAAGCTGTCAAGGGATTTCATACACAATTTTAAAAACAGAATTACATGAAATTCATCCTTTGTCAAAGTTTTTGAAAATTTGATAGAGATTTTGTGAAAATTTTTTAAAGACGCAAACTTTTTCTTAAATAAGACTTATATTGAAACAAAGTTTGGCTGTATAATTATAGCAAGCTTAAAAAAGCAAAAGGCAAGCAAAATTGAAGTTTCGTCTTTGTCTCTCAAACTTAATAAGAAAATATTTACCACTGCTAAATTGGAACAGCAATATGAGCCTTACTCTACTTTTAAAAAAAATGTTGTTAACATTTAGATTTTTAAAATTTGCTAATTTTTCCTTCATCATATGGCCCTTGTAAAATTGTTTGTTCAAGAGTAATGAACGTCGAGAAGACTTTTCTATAAGTGCTGGTAATTTTTTTGGTGATTTTTTGAGAAAAAAGTCTTTAAATGCTCTAAACTAAACATATTAATGCAATTATAAATTTTTAAACGAACATTTTGAGGTAAACTGAGGTAAAGTGCGCTCTCAAAATACAAACGTGCAAATGGAGCGAAAAGACGTATCGAAAAAGGAATTTAACTTCTAGATTTCCCGGTGGAACAAAGGTACACCTAATAATCCAGTTGTCTCAAATTAGGGTAATTTTGTCGAAAAATTATCAAAAATAAAATTATCATCTTGAAGTTCAAAGAGGGTTAAGGCCTTATATTTTTATTGAAGTTTCAACTTTTTTGCGAGCATTACTCTGCTCCAACTGACAGTGGGCTATATTTAAACTTTAATGGGGAGATCACAAAAAAACACTACAAAGTAAATGCGCATTTTTGTAACGATAAAAAATCCACCATTCACGAACTTTTAGCAAACACTTAAATTAAAAACTTTCTCTAAAATAGTTTTTTTGTCCAAAGATCAATTAAGATTGTCCAACTTTTCCATCTCAATGGTATTAGAAACAAAATAAATAGTATCGAGTTGGCTAGCATTTAATCCGTTTTTGGTCTCGATTCGGGCTGCATACAAAAACTCAAAAAAATCTCGATTAAAAAACTGTTCGATGTTCTAATATTATTTAGGATGAATATTATGATTTATTTATTATAAATACTTTAAGAATTAAAAAAAAATAATCTAATTTTGTAAAGGTTATGTAATATTTAATCAATAAAAAATTGCTCAAATCTTTTGAAAGTCCAAATGTTTATTTTTTTCTTCTGATGTACGTTTAAATTTTAATAATTTAAGCTATAAGAAAATCAAATATTCATAAGATTCCAGAATGAACAGTTTTTCTCCTTATAATGCTTTTTTAAATCTATGATAAAGGTCGATCAACCTGTATACTATTTGCAAAGTACCGAGTTGGTCTTTGATGTGAATGCTTCCATACCTGAAGTAGATTTGGACTTGGGAAGTTGGTCGCCATTAAACTCATGATAACTCATTTTGTTGTCCGGATTCCAGATGCTGCCGACAGTCCTGGTTCTGGACTCGTGTCCTAGCCCAGGATTGGTTCTACAATCAGAGCTGTCAATCAAATTACAGGCACTGCGATGAACCTTGTGATCATTCAGCTCATGCCCACTTCCAAATCTGCCACCATGTCCGGTTTTGGTGCTGCGGATCCTACTTTGAGCGGAACTTACTTGTCTGAGGAGACCTTCGTTCGAGTTACTTCTGGCTCTATTTTGGTAAAATTTATTATTCGGGAAAAAACGAGCGTTTAGATTTTCACCGCGATTATTCGGTTCTGCAGAAGAACTCCCCTGGTCTTTGAGTCGCGTCACCCGCTGTTGCGCGCGACGAGTGTTTTGCCGACCAGGAATTGCTGAGTCATCATCTAAAAGGGATCCCTCGGAAGCTGAGTAGAAATTCTGCGAAACGTTGAACGTGTTTTCACTATCTGCCAAGTCCTCGAAGTTGGGACTCTTCTCTAACAAATGTTCTATTTCACCATATTTGATGTCTAAGAACCGCTCGGAGCTATTAACTCGGGACGACAACGCGTACCTGCTCGTAGTTGGGGTCACGAGACGACTTTGGTTCGTGCTCGAGTAAATCCTGCTGCCTTTTCGACCCAGAGTTGGATCGATGTTTCCGACTCTGCAGTGTAATGTCTCGTTGAAGGAAACCGGACGGTCTTTTAAATAGTGCCTCGAAGACCAGTTGCGTCTGGGAGGACTTCGACTTTGGAACTGACTTCTTCCACCAGTTTTTGACACTTGGGGAAGTTTTGGATAACTTGAGATTCTGGAAGCAGGTTTGTAAATTTGGTCCTGAAGAGGATTGTAAAGGTGGGCTAATTTATCAACTGCGTCTGCTAATTGTGCAGCAGCGTGGGAGGGTTTCTGACTATCTTTATGACTAAAATCTGCGATATGAATTGCTTGGTAAACTGGTTCCTTTGATGGTCGCTTCTGTTGGTTGCAGGCAGGGGGAACTAAAGTTATTTCAGTGTTGGTTGACGCGTCTTTAAATTTGGGTTCAACCAAGCTTAAATCTGTCTGTGATTCGGCCGACCTAGACGCTGCTCTGAAAGACCAGTTACGTGTAAGTACTGATCTCGGCTCTGCTTTGTCTCGGCTGCTTGTAGTTTTAATTTCAGTATCGCTTTTCGGATCACTATTGGGCGAATTTTGACTGCTACTTGTAGTTACCAAGTGGCTTTTAGTCGTGTAGTCACCATTTACACTGCTTTGACGTTCCTTTGCTATTGTACCAGCGGCCACAATAGTTGGTTTGCAAACTAAGTTGGTATGATTTTCTTTTCCACTGCTAGCATTGCAAGCAATAGCCGAAATATTTTTACACTGCTGTTGCCTGTGACTATTGTGTGAGTCTATATGTGTATGAAGTGGTTCCCTTCTACTTTCAGCTATGCCGTTCGAGCAATACGCACCATTTGCTGTATGGAATGAGCTGCCATCATTGTACACATTGCTATTTGCTACATTTTCTTCCTTATTTCTAATTCCACTGACATTCAAATGCGTGGGTCTTCGTGCGTTCTCAGAATGTTGTGTTTTTTCTATCTTTATACGGCTTAAATCGTTTCTTTTATCCTCTGTTTTTTCCTTAGAAAAAGCTACTGCAGTGGTTGCAACGTGATTTATATTTCCTTCTCCTCCAAAAATTGAATGATCACTGTTTTTATTTCTCCTGTCTGGCTGAACTGAATTAAAATCGCAGACACCGACGGAAGGGCTAATTTTAACTTCAAAATTTCCTGCGTAATTTGTGGCATTTCTAGGGCTACAATGAGAAATAAATTCACCCCCTTTAACCCCTACTGAATAACTTTGCCTATTTCCACCTTTGGTCCCAGATATCATTTTTTCAACCCGACTACCGGCTTTTTCATACTGCGTGGCTTCTGGTGATGATGCTGCGGATGAAGTTGAGCAAATAACACCAACTTCTTTTTTCACAGTTTTTTCACTCAGTGGCGATGTCTGGAGTGTGAAATCTGATCCTTTCACGCTTTGTTTGTTAACTTCATTTCTAAGTCCTTCTTTTGTTTCTATTTTTGGGCCATCAGAAATATGCAAGTTTGAACTGACCTTAACAAATGCACTTTTCTTCCTGAAATCCTTTTGTTGTTTATCAGCAACATTTTGTTTATTCTCAGAAAAATTTCCTGAAGATGGGGAGTTTCTTAATTTCTTTTCATTTAGAGATCCGACTGCGTGCGATAGGAAATCTTGGCTTCCCAAGTTTGCACTGTCAAACGTCGAGTATCTATGCACCGTCGCCCGTACAGGTTTCCCAGAATTCCGCTCGTCTTGTCCCTCAACCGGTGACATTAATTCACGACTTACCGATTTTTGTGAAAATCTTCGTTGTTGTGGACTTAACGAAGAATTTGACCGTGAATCGTTTTTTCGTCTTATTTTTTCTTTCGTCGCTGAAGAGTTTTGACAATAATTCTCTAATCGCTCGTATTGATTAATCTCTCCCTCAGTTTGAAAAGAATTGCTTTTGTTCAGGGAACAATAGAGCAACTTTTGTTCCCTGTTTGCCACATGTTGCACTACTGCAGTTTTTTTACCAGCAGCTATTTTTGAGCTTGCGTTGGAATTAGAATTAAAGCTCCCGCTGTTGGTATTTTGAATTTTTTCAACTGGTAATGATGATGAAGATTTAGTTTTGATAATAACATCTGGCGAGCTCACTGGCGTGTAGCAATGGTGCCCTAAAGCCGCGATGCTTTCTGAGCTTCCCAAATCTCGTTCTGTCTGAGCGAATCCGTTCAAAAGCCTGTCTTTCAATCGCTTCATTTTTACTACAGAGTCCCACCGTTTCGCTTTTTTCTGTTCGCCGTCTGCTGGCTGACTGAAACATAAATCACTGAGCTAATAACGATACTGCATATTTGAAACACTAATACTCAAAATACAAGTAGTTAAGTTTTCGAACGAACAAAAAGTTTGCTTAAGAAGTTAACGAAGAACAATTTGAGTGTTTTGGTTCTTGAATAAAAATTTGAAAGTTGTAAAATGAGAAGTCTTTGAAGTGGACGAATAAAATTTGTGAAGTTGAGTTTGGTATCACCAAACAGATGAAAAATCGCGTAAACTTTAATGCCCCGTTGTAATTTTATAACTTCAACTACAACAAACTTTGCGTAAAATAATTAATTCTGTGAGCATGTTTGTGCAAATTTTGAACCAAAAACAGCGTTTATTTTAACAAAATTTTAAAGAAAGATTGAACAAAAAACTGTTGGTACATGGTTGAGCACCGACAAAAACACCGTTGGCTTGCGATTTTAGAATTTAATTGATAATGTAGTTTTAGTTTTAGCCGCTCGGTGGGTAATTGTAAATTGATTACACAAAAGGTGACAAATTCATTATACCACCTGAAAAGCTTGAAAGTTACTCAAATATAATCCAATGGACAAAGCGTACACTCGTTAGAAACTTAACTGTCAATAAATTGAAAAGATGTTTTGACAGGCTGCTGTTATGTTTATGATGATACGATTTTTGACATGTCTATAAAAATAATGAATTATAAAAAATGGACATTGAGTTTATGTTGACTGAAATTGTTACAAAAAAGTTTCCTTCTTACCTTGCGCTTTGAAGAGACTTTTCTGACAGATCACATCCTACTAAATATGATTTGCGACGTCATTTGAAAAATATATTTTAAAAACAATTTAATACTATTTTAACTGTTTACTCAAAAAAAGCTCGTGGGAAATTTGGCAAAAAAGAATTAACATGCTTTTACTTGTTGGTCAATGGATAGTAGATGGCTTATGTACATTTTTTTTACTGTTGTAAAACTGAAAAACATGCTAAAATATAACGGTCTGGTGGTAGAAATTGATGTTTGAAAGCAGCAAATTTGAAGCTTATCAATCAAGCGTGAAAAAGTGCTGGACGTGGTATAACAGTAAGAGGTTATAACCGTTAATGACTCATTTGTCAAAACAGAAAAGAATTAATTTTCCACACCTGCTTCACTTCTTTATCAACAGACTTTCGAATTTTTTAATTTACTTTCATACATTCAGATTTTGTCTAGAAAAAAACACAAGTCTGAAACTTGATTTGAAGCCACGATTGTGCGTAAACATGGAAAAGTACTAAAAAAGCAAAAAAATTGGAAGCAAATTGATGCCCTGAAAAGTTTAATTGGGCAATTGTTTTGATCTTTCAGACAGTCTTCTGTAAATTTTGGGTAGCCAGGGTCATCTTATCAAGTTCGGGTTTTTGTCTTGTTATGATTTCTGAAGTGTTTATTTGAGCACCTAACTATATGACGTGTGTTACTGCATCATGGCACTGCAACCACAAGATAAAGAACTTTTACTTTTCAACAGAGCGAAGGAACGTATATATATATTTTAAGGCTTTTAACTATTTCCTCTACAACTGCCTGCCTCTATAACTGCTTGAAAAATTTTGACATTATTCATGAAAAAATTCGAAATGAAAGGCAGAAAAAAAAACGTTCTAAGCGTCATATGAACAGTCAATAATAACTCTAAGATTGTTGCCGAAGCATCTTCGTAAACAGCACAAAATGGTAGAATTCATCTGCTCAAAAATAATTTGCTTTGGAGTTTAACAAACAGGTGTTCTCCGTGCACAGCGCAAAAACAGCAAACTAAATTGTTGGCAAACATCGAAATGTAGGGGATTATTTCCAAGAATTTTTGTGCCAATTATTAAAATAATAAGAAAAAACTAATTCTAGGTGCTGCATAAAATAACAATCTTTGTATCTTGAGTTAAAGTTTATTCCAACGTTCTGACATAGAAGCGGCTACGTTTTTGAAAACTCTGAGCAGTGAAAAAAGAACGAGTTTTGATTATTGGTGCACAAATACTCCGAAATAAACGCTCCAGTCACTTTGTGGTACCAATCTTTGTATACTTTTTTCCCCTTGTTTGTACGCTGGAAAAAAAAATCAGCTAAGCTCACTAGCTAATCAAAGACAAACTTTCAAAATCATTCACCACATGTTTCAATGAGACTAGAATAGTTCCTTTTTGAAATTAATTTGACTAATAAAATGTAGTTTCCAAAGATAAATTTTTAAGTTCAGATATAGCTTGATGATTCTGATTAATTTCATGTTTCAAGTCTCAAATAGTTCCGTCCTGTATAATTAGGAGTTAGAGAGAACTTGTCAAAAACGTTAAGATATAATCATTTATTCACTCGCTCGAAAACAGAACCTGCAATCCGATTGTTACTTGACTGAGCTAAGAAAAAATGTAAATGCTAAATTTTTTCAAATTTGTGAACTTTTCATCTGTAACAGTTTAGAAAATCATTAGAATGATTGAAATTTTTGTGCTTGGTTTTTTTGTCCAAATTTTGTCGTTTAGCTAGCAAAAGTTTTTTAAGCTTATTTTCAAATTTTATCACATCAATTTGTTTTCAGTCGTTTTCCACAAATATCTATGTTTCGTGTCCATATGGAAAAATTTAAAAATCAACAACATCATGGAAATTGTACTAAAATGGTCTTTTAAAATCGAATTTTGTGTTTTTCTTGTTTCACTTTAAAAAGTTGGAAGTATGTAAGAAGAAGTACTTCACCTGCAACTATGTTTTTTAGATTAAAAGGGGTATGAAAACTTGAAAGAGGTCTAATTTGTGAGACCTAAGGCGCAGTTTAACGTCCTACTATTCAAACGTAACCGGCGAATTGAGTCGGACAATTTTCTCTCATTGATACCTTACCAGACCCAAAACAAAACACTGCAGGCTCTACATTGCATGTTCGTATGAAAAAAAAACAAAAAAAATTTAAAAAAAACTATCTATTTTTAGGCACAAAGTTTGTGTAGACTTTAATTTTTCTACAGTTTCAGCTCAGATATGTGAGACGCAACTCTTTACCGATGTTCAAAATTACCTGAGACACTTCTTAGTAATTAGAAAACTAGTTTTTCGTTTGAGTTGTTATTATATCACAAGGAAATAAATTTTTTTCTGAAATTATATGAGTAGACGTTAAAAGACACTTAGCTAGATTTTGCAGCAATAAATCAATTTTATTAAATTAAGAAAATTGTATATCGCACCTATTAATTAATGGAATAGGAAAAAAAGTTAAACTGTCTAAGATTTTCTAAACTTCAGGTAAACCTAAATTAGTTTTCTTTCTTGAAAACAAAATAGTTGTTATTGTTATATCTTATCTGAGCAATTCACTTAGAATCCACAACAAAAAAAATTTTCGTTTCACTCAACTCTTGCAATAAACTTTACCTTCATGTGA